CCATCTTTATACTAACCTATTACTTCAGAAATATATATATTCTAATACAAAACCCAAATATCAAACTTATAACTAACTTTATTACTATCTCAGAATACTAAACAAAACTTATTAATAACTATATAGATGCATCAATCAAAAATATCTAAATACCAAACCTTCAAACTGGTATCAGTTAGATCTTAGAAAATAATACCAAAATCAAATTTTCTGCTAATATTACAAATGCTCTCTACAGCACAAGAGCTAAACTAGCACCAATTATATTTATACTTCTTTCCTTACTACAAAATTTATATATACATATTCATTACGATAATTCTTTTACAATTCAAACTCTTAAAAATCTATCTAATCACAATTCTACACAAATTAAAATTGAGAACTGGGATTATCTACATATTATTAATAACCTTCTCCAAAAGAAAAATATCTCTTTTACTATACACAAAGTTAAAGCATACTCTAAAAATGCTTTAAATCAGAATATAGACATCCTTGCAAAAAGAAGCACAAACAGATGATCTATTGAACTTAATCTAAAATATCTTATAATATTCTCCTTTTTCTCATAGTACAATACTCTACTCACTTCACAAATTCATAAATTTACTAAAACTTAATTTTTATTAAAACTTTCAATAAATTCCTTCAACTCAAAAATATTAGTAATATCTCTTAATTTAATATCAATCTTTTACAACCATTACTAATTCTTGTAACTACAAATCTAACTTATATCTCTACATATTAAAATACTACTAAACAACCTACCTACAATGTCTAGCCTTCATCTTCATTATTTATATCTTTATTTAACTCCTAACTATACTCGATATAATCAATTTGAAGACATTTTACATCTATTAAACTGTCATCAGGCTCTATTTGATCCATACTAACTAATACACCATTCAAACAATAACCAAACTCAAAATCAAGAATACAAACTCCTTAACTATTACAAATATACTACTTAATGCAAATACTCATAATACACCTTCTTAAAACTTTCTTTTTCTGATACAAGGAACAATTTCCTTCTGCATTACAGACCAACTATAGTCTATTCTTACCAAAAATACTATCAACTTTTGTCTCTTTCTTTCAAACAATCTTCTGTCTTAGTTTAATTTAAACATTTAGCAAATTAGAAACCAATTTCAAAATGACTAGAAAACCTTAAGAAATATTAAATTGAAATCAAAATAAACAAAACTTTCTTTATCAAACGCAGTTATTAGAACTCCTACAACAACAATCTATAATCACAATATTGATTCATTTATTCAAAAATGGCATAATCTAAACTTTACTATCTTTTATATTTTACTAATCTTATATTTTAACTATTGGGCTTCCTCTTTTTTCTTCTATAACTAATGGTAGCTAGTCTTAAATTAGTTTATAAATAGAAAATTAAGAGGTAATTTGCTACATCTAAGTGATTATACAAGATATAATAGATAGTTAAAATTTAATATTATCTTAATACAAATCTGTAACTAATCTTATTATATATATAGCAAATTCAAAATAAAAAAAAATTTTCACTTTTGAGATATATAATTTATATATTCATGTTCTATATATATCAATATATTTATTATAATAGCTAAAAGTAAACAATACTCTAACTATTTTGGCAAGTAAACAATTTGCTAATCTTTTGGAGAATGTAAACTAAATCAACTACTTTTTTTAAAAAATTTTTTTAAAAAAAAGCAGAGGGTCAATAAGATTCTTTTGTAAGTTTTACAGTAATATAAACAATTCTTCAAGCTTCTACTATCTCAGTGAGAGCTTTTAACTACTACTTGTTTTTAAAATACTCTATGAGTTGGAATGCTGAATATCTTGAGAGGTTTATTTAATAATAGTTAAAAAACTTAATCTTAAAAAAAACTGTTTAAATTATATCTAATCTTTAGTGTTTACATCATTCAAGTTTGTTAATCTATAATGAAAAGAGTTAGAACTTATTAGAAGAAATGCTATATCAATTAGAAATAGCTAAAAGTAATATGGCTTGCTATTTAAATAATTTTATAGTATTAGGCTAGTCTTTAATAAGATAGATTATTAAAGCAAATTAGAAGGCAATAGCAGAGAATATGTAGCATTGTTGTTGCTAAGTATTTACAAAGGTTTTTATAAATCTACTCTTGTAATAATAACCAATTGAATTTCAGAATTATATGTAATATAAAAATTGAGACAAAGCAAAAAACAAGAATAGCTCTAAATTTTAATTAGAAAACTGCCTTCTGTAGTCTAATAAAAAATGTTTCTTGTAAAATTTTAGTTGTCAATGTTATATTATTCTAGTATATTATTAAAATACAAACATCAGTTCAACTAGTTAATTAGAAATTTCTTTTGTAATCATACTTGAATAAGGCTTATTTATATAATTAAAATATAAACATCTGCAACAATGTAAAATTATCCAAATTATTGTACAACCTGATTAAATATAATGATAAATCTTCTTATAATATTACAAAATTAATAGCACTATAAATGAGCTATCAAAAATTCAATTACACCTTGTGAAGCTTGTCAGCTAAATTATAAATTAAGAAACTGCTACTAAATAATTGTATTATGCTTTTGCAAATTGTCATCATAATAGCATATCTTTGTAATTAAGGTTAAGTGCTTATTACTATAATCTACTGTTGTTAGATAAAACTAATTTTAGCAAATAGCAAAAGACAAAACTAAACCTAGTAAAAGATAAAACTGGTAAAATTTTGGTAAAACACTGGTTAAATGGCAAAACTTTGACAAAACAGCAAAACTTTGGCAAAGACTCTGAAGAAATTAAAGATTAAATTCTCTAAAACTTAGAAAAGAATAAGCCATATTAATGAATTAAAATATTTTGCATATAGCATGTTGCTTATATAAACAAATATACAAAAACAATAAGCAAAGTGATAGCTTTTTGTTTGTATTTAACTAATATTAAAAGAAAATTATTTCAGGTTTTTGAACTTATAATTAAATAAACTTAGTCATATAAAATAAACCTATCTAGATATTAAACAAATTTTATTGTTATATTAAAATTTTTTCTTTTTAACATTTTGTTGTTAAAACTTTAAATATCATATATGTGTAAATAGTTCATTAATATTATTATTACTAACAATTATTTTCTGATTCTTTATTTTATTTAGCCTTAAATTTCAAGACTAACTTTAAAGAAATAATTGTCATATCATTGATCTATAATATATCAAATATAAAAATTTGATCATTAATTAAAAAGCATTGTGTATAATCATGCATGTTAAGTGTCAAATTAAATTTTTGTTAAGTCAAAATTAAATCCTAGAGTTGGATAAGAACCTATGCTAGAAGTAGTGATTGTATTTATTCTGAAATCCTAACATAGTTATTAGTGGGTAGGTTATCCAGATATATATTTGTAAATATAGTTTTTATTATTGCTGCTTACTTTAACACCTATAAGATTTTGTTTTGTGTTTGTTTATGATCTTTTCTTAATTTATATGTGTTGATGCACATTGATTCATTATTTTGTGATTTTGTGTTGCCTCATGAGAGACCACATTGTCTATTTTACCAAAAAGGAAGTCACCCATCAAAAATTTTTAATATTATCTTTAATGTTACATGCATAACGTTTGTTACATTATATAATGCACATAACGTACATTATATTACGATTTAGATCTGCCAAGTTCCCCAAATGTTTTTATTGAACTCAAGTTGTATTTATAGTAAAAAATGGTGGGCTTAGTATTATTACTAATATAGGATCTGCTAAACAATTATTGTTATTTACAGCTTTGTCATGATCTATTTGTACAATCCCACCATTATATCAAAGTAAGGTAAAATGCATACTGAGAATGTTCGTAAAAATTTTTCAAACTTAACAAATCAATATTAAAATCATATGCTGCCTTATCGTAAATTGTATGCATAACGTAATCGATTTATATCATTCTAACATTGTTATTATAATCATGTCAATTTTTATTATTCCAATGGTTATTACGATAGAAATATAAGAAACAAGCAAATTTGAATATTTTTTATTGTTCTAGATATTGATTATTTTCTTAAAATAATCATTCGTTCTTTCGATTATTGATATTTTCTTATTATTGATGGTTTTGGTTAAGTACAACTATATTGTTTAGTCCTATAAGACCTTTTTTTATTATTTAATAAATTAATAATTGTTTTTAAACCATCTTTAATTTAAATAAATATACAATGTATGATAATGTATAATAACAAATCGCTGCAAAATACAACTATTAAATTATTGCTATGTTTATTATATTCATCAACACACTTCTCATAGACTTTTATAAACAATATTCGTGGTTATTTCTTACATATAAAGCCAGTTAGTTTAATAATCATTTGACATGTATATATTAAAATGAATTGTATCAAGATTACCAAGTGTTTATTGATATAGGTCTAAAATATTTAAGTATAAAATTAATTAAGTATCAAAAAGTATAAAAAAGAAAAAAAGGTTTACCTTAATATTCATCTGCAAGCTTATCATTTTTCTTTAATTTTTTTCTTTTTGTTCTCTTATCTTGATCAAAATGTTTTCTCATTCTTCTTTGATTGTTCTAATTGTCGCAAAGGATGATAGAACTTTATTTGCTCAAGACCTAGCAAAATACCAATCAAGCCCAAATGTTTTTCAAACCATTAGATGGAAATATTTCTATCCATTTAATAAACCTCATTTAAAATTTTCACAAGGCGATATACTTTTCTTAGAAGGAAAATATATAATTGAAGATAGGTCTGAATATATTATAGTTGCTTATGCTAGCATTATTGATGTTGGTGATCCTCATCATGAGTTTAATGCAGATGAGATTCCTTTTTGTGAACTCCATTTTATGTCTCCTACAATAATCAAACATGCTCCAAAACCTCATGATGAAATATTTATTTTGGTGTTGAATATCATGTATATAATTCTTTTACAGCTCATGAAGTTTGTATAGAAATTATAGTTTCTTATCCAGCTCATGCTACTAGATTCGATCACTTGAATGATTATATCAAAATAGGCCAATCATTTGTGGTAGCTGGTTTTATAAAATTTGAATCTAATGTTATTACATTAGAAGCTACAGATATAGATTATTTAACTTTGTTCGATACAAATTATAATATATCTGTAAACCCTTCATCAACTACTTCAAACTCCAAATTGGATATCAGCATAATTGCTAATAAATTCAAATCTGCAAATTCTTCAATACCATTAAAAAAATGTCAAAGATTAGTGCCCACACCTACTACTAATGATGAAAGTTTAACCTCAGTTATTTTATTTCAAGAATTAACTCCCATTAGTACCAAAGTTATTGCAAATAAAAAAGAAAAAAAAAATATCTCTGATATAGCATTAGACACTCTTGGTCTAAGTACTTATCATGCTGAGGAAAATCATATCGAGGAAGATAAATTAAAAGAACAGATGAAGAAGAACTATATGAAAATAGTGAGCAAGAAGATCAGTAAGAAAGAAGTAAACAAAAAAAATCTCTACAAGTAAAAAAAAGAACCTAAAAAACTAATAAAAGAAGTATGAGCAGACCTATAAAAAAAAAAAAATAAAGAAAAATAACTATATCTTTATCTAATTTCTCATTACTATTATAGACGAATTTTAATTATAATATAAAAAATTTAGTATTATAAATCTATAAATTTCTATTAAAATGTTTGTAATTTTTAAAGTAAATATTTTATCATTTTGTCCTATTGCTCAATGATCTCAAAATTATATTAGTTCTTTGTTAATCTGATAAATACTTCTAACATGTTCTTAAAATTTATCTTATAATATTTTTAATAAAGTAGTTGCTCAACGTCATTGCACAAAACTAGAAATAGAAAATATAATTTAAATATTAACATTAATACATATAAAGACAATTATAAAAATATATTAAATTATAATTTTAACTTTTTTTTTTTTTTTTTTTTTTTTTGTAAATGCCATAGTTGAAACTTTATTTAATAAAATAGAAAAAAAATTCTACATTA